GGTGTTCAGGGCCCGGCTGCGAGGTCCCCGGGACTCACCAGGAGCCAGAGGGGAAAAGCATGCCAGGGAGGGCAGCTCGGCCAGCCAGCTCCGAGGGCTGGTGGCTATTCGTGGCAGTCACCCCCAGACTGGTGGTAAATTGGTCACGCCCCCCATGAGGGGAGCCGAGTTGCCCGTTCAGGTTAGCTCCAGGACAGCCCAAAGGGCAGAGCATGGAGCCAGATCACACCCCTCCGTGGGCACCCAGTTCTGGGGCGTGTCCAGCCCAGCTCTCCAGGCCCTAAACGCCTCCCCCCAACCCCCTTGAGTGGGCACCAACGGCGCAAGTGCTTCCAGGCCCGCGGCGTGGCGCAGATGAGAGTGGAGAAGGACATGGCCGCCAGCAGAGAGAACAAGGCCAGGTAGAGCAAGCCTTCCACCCCGTCGTAGCAGATGCCCATCAGCCCGTCCAGGTAATCCTGCAACGGGGAGACACCACACGGTCGTTCTCCTTCCCCGAGTGCTCCCGCTGGGCCGGCAGGGGGCATGGCGCCGGCCCTGGCGAGCCACCCCGCGGGAGGGAACGCCCCACCTTGTGCAGGCCCCGGCAGTCCAGCATGGCCGTCAGCTGGTGCAGGCTGGTCTCCGACGAGTTCAGCAGCTGCTGGATTCCGAGCAGGTCTTTCTGCGGCAGAGAGGGGCAAGGCAGAGGCGCTGAGGCCAGCTGGCAGCACAGCATGGCATGGCATGGGGGGAGGGCGGAGAGGCTGGGGGGGCTAAGGGATCCCTCACACGCCCTGGCCACTGCCAGGCGATCACCCCCCATGCCTCGTGCGTTCCAGACACCTCGGCTGCAGGATTCGGGGTGGGGCTAGAATGCCTCCCTCGTCCCCACCCCCTCCCCCCGCTCTCAGCCCAGGAGGAGCCGTGCCCCTGTCCTGCAGGGCGGCTGGGGAGAAGCTGGCCAGGCATGTTGGGATCTCAGCACTGGGCACAGACGATGGGCGGCGCACACAGCTGGGCAGAAGCCCTGGGACGGGTTTTGGTTCCAGGTATGAGGACACAGAATAGTCCCCCCCCATCTTGGCACTGCTACCCCAGATCTGTGTGCCCAGCGGGGGGCCCCGCCTTACCCTGGCCGTGGGGAAGAGAGGCACCGCAAACTGCAACAGGCCCTGGATCTGAATCTGCATGGTGGTGAGCGAGCGCTGGTAGATGGTCAGGGCCTGCACGGCAGAAAACAAGGCCTAGCCCCCGAGGCATGGCCCATGCTCGCCGGAGGGCAGGGAGAGTCCCCCCCTGCACACTTCCAGGCCTGGACTGTCAAGATCCAGAGGGCAAGCTGGGCGTGGTAACCACGGGGACCCAAACCCAGCCAGCCCCAGCGCCTGCGTGCCAGCTGCGAGGCACGACGGAGCCAGCTGAGTCCGGGCTGCAGACCCCCGAGCCCAGAGCCAACCCGGGCAGAGAGCCGGATACATCAGCTTTTCCCTCCCACGATGCCTGCGTGGATTTGGCTTGTGGCTGGCGGTGGCAGGAAGCAGTGCCAC